AATTCTATACCAAAGAACAAATAACATAATATACAAAAAACATAATTAATTACTAAAAAATATAAAATAAATTATTGTATAAATAATATGTGCTATTTAAATATGTAATGTTTTCTAGAAAGTTTTTTAATATTGCCCGAATAAAAAATATGAATTTTAAATATTTTTGAATAGCTGAAATTTTAAAAAAAGAAATAACGACAAAATGATATAAAAATATGTATAATACAACAATGAAACAATATGCGAAATAGTCGCATCCTCAGTTGCAAATGAATTGCGACCTCCAAATCAATATTTTTGACCATTAATAATTAGTTAACTAGATTGACAGATAAACACATAATAAATTTGTAAAAACTGAATACAAATATAAATAATTAAGGTCAAAAATTCAAAAAAACAAAGAAAAAACGATAATATTTTTTCTAATTTCATGACCATCCTAAACAAAACGCAACTCCAAAAATTATTGAAAATAATTAATTGTAAACATTATTAAACAAAAGTTTTGAAAAATACTAATTTTTAAAATTATTTACGAATAGAACTTTGAAAATTTCGAAAACAAACAGAAATCAGAAGATAAATTGCTTTGTTATCATTATTTAGAACAAAGACAACGACATTCTTCTAAAGAGCAAAAGATGACAAAAGCAAGTCGATAAATACAAAATCATTACAAAATCTTTATTTGACTAGGAAAATAAACGAGTTTTGTATTTATTTTATATAAATTTTATAAAAACATCAATAACATTATAAAATTTTATAAGAGACTTTTAATTAATTATCGATATTTTAAAATTTTATATATAAAGCTTAAATATAAAAGCAACTGAATTAGACGTAAACGCCTCTAGCTAGAAATTGAAGAATCTAAACAATTTAATTATTTACTTACTTTAGTACGATAAATTAGAAATTCAAATAATAGAGCATCTATTTCGTAAGTTTAAAGAATTGACAACGATTTATGGAAAAAGATCCATATGTCTTCGGCCTTTGCTTTGGACTAATTCGTAAAAAAAATTAATTAATTAATTACAATATGTTATTATAGTACCAATATTAAGAGATTGGTCCTATAATAAGCTATCAAAAATTTATTTATATAATTTTGTAAAATTTTATGATTGTATATAATTTTATAAGCCAAACAAAAAATTATCAAAATTCTCATATAATTTCTTTTGTTCTCATATAACTCTTAAATATAATTTCCTTAGTTCTCATATAATAATAAAATTCTCTAGAATTTTTTAGTGGGTGCTAGTTAACTGATTGTGAGTATATAGATTAGGTTTAAGTGTCATATAAATTTAATAAAATAAAATATTAAATAAAATATAAAATATTTTAAAAAATTGAAGATATATTATAACTATACATATAATAAAATTACTTACATAAGGTATATATAAAACTATTACTAATCAATCAAGATGCATTGTGGCATCTGATTGTGGCTAACAAAAACTGTGGCTAACAAAAATAATTACGCACCATTGGAAGCAATAAATGTTAAAGCTTGTACTGAGCAGGAGGAATATAAATTTCAAAATTTTCTGCTAAAAATAAAGACGTTTATGGACGTATTTTATATATAATAAAAAATATTTGCAAAAGATAAATTTTTAATTAAACCCGTAATAAAATTAAACCTAATTAAATTTAAAAATATTAACATTTCTAAATTTTATCACTGTAAATTTAAAAAAATTAAAAAACTGCATTAACGGTAAAAAATATTTATAATAAAATTCCCGGTTATTGTTAATAGATAATGTAGTTCTAAGACTTTATGAGACTATCTATCGATAAAATAAAGACAGGGAGTTTTGATAGATATCTGGAAATCAAGAATAAGGGAGTTCCGCTAGTTTATATAATTTAATAATACCATCCAAAGTCCAATTCATTTTTTGATATGAATTGTTCTTAAAATTAAACTTTATTTAATTCTAATTAAGTACACAAACAACAACAAGGATCAAATTATATTAAAAATTTAGAAAACGAAAACCCAAACACAACAAAATCTATATCATTTATTGACTGTCTAACCTTTCTATAGTATCATTAATAACACAACATCATTTAAAATTAGTTAAAATTTTAAATTACAAATTAAATTATAATTATAAAAAAATAAAAATTTTCATCATATAGAATTTTAAATTTATTAAAATTTATTTATCATAAATACAAGCAAAACTAAATATTAATTTTCTTAATAATCAAATTTTGTGATGTACCTCATACACACAATTGAATTAAATTAAATAAAAATAATAATTTAACTAAATAGCAAAAATTGAATAGATGATAAAAAATTAAATACCCTTTAGTCGGATAAATTATTTTGTTTTTAAGCATAAAATTTAAATGTAAAATTTCCAAAAAATATCAAAATATGAATGATCAAATATGAAAAAGGTTACTGTGCAGATCGTTTGACAAAATTTAAAACATTATTGTGTTTTGTTTACTATAAATTTAAAAAATATGCAAATTTAGTAATAATAGTTACACTTCAAATCAAAATTATTAACGTCCATATCTCCTCATTTAAAAGGTCATAGCTCTCAACGATTGAAAATTGATAATTAAATGGATAAATTGATAAAAAAAATATTAAAAAATCATTCTATAAACAAAATTATATCGAAAGATAATTATTTAGTATAATAAAATTTTAATTCACCTATTGAATAATTTTTTAAAAAGTTTAACATAAAATAATTATATATATAATTTGGCAGCATATGACGATCACTAAATAAACGATCACTTATTTAACGATAATTTAAAGCTAATTAAAATAATTTGAAATGTAAAATAAATATTCAAAAACACAATATTAAAATAGTTAGACAAAATAAGGGTGCGGCAAATTTTAGTCACTTTTTCTTTTTGTCATAACCTTCTTTAAAATTAATGAAAATTGGTAATTTTTTTGTTTTATTCCCAATACTTTAGGATACTTGCTGAACCAAAATTTCTTTTAAATTGTATAATTAAGTTTGATTATCTTCTCTAAGAGTTTAAGCAAAATTTTTTGGATAAAAGTTTATATTTATTTGGCCTTTTGATATTTATGCAAGGAAATTATATCCCTTAATTGATTTTTATTGCCTATTGTGACTTTTTTTTTCTATTCTTTTTTAGTTTTTTGAAACGCAAATTTTTATATGTATTTACTTGTTTTTTAACGTAATTTTATTAATTTAAGATCCTTTTGACAAATTATTCTAATTTGGTTAAAAATGAGCAGTAATAAGCGCAATCAGGCTACTGCTAATATTGCACCAATCAATTCAAGAATTGGTGAAAACAACATAAAGAAATTTCTTAGTATAAATAAACAATAATAGCCTTATACTGTCATTTTCACCACAAATTCATACCTTTTGTTACATATTTATTTTCAACGATGTAAGTGGATCCCTTTCGTTGAAATTGTGTTTTTTAAATAAATAAATAAATGACATAATTGATTATAATGTTTACCATAATAGATTTAATCCATACGATTTAGCAGTGAAGGTAACAGTAAGAGTTTTATTTTAGGTCACAAAAATTAGTTGATATTGACCCGACAGTGTCTTTGTAAATGTTATCCTTCAGAAAATAAATAAAATAATGAAAATAAATCTATTTCTAAATATTTATCTTGGCAACAATTAAAGAATATTGTTTTTAACTAAAATTACATAGGTTTATCTTACATAGTTTTAGAATTTTTTCAATAAAATCAGAAAATTACAGTTAAAAAACCATAATTATTTAAATACTATTTATTCGTTTCGTGTTCTGTTTCATTTTTATTAATTTCCTTATTTATTTTTTGTTGCTTTTTGTAACATGCTATACATATATATTGTTCAGGTATTGAATGACGGTACCAATTTGATGTTTGTATTGCTCCGCAAGTAAAGCATTTTCGATCCTTCGCGATCCGCTAAAATATTTATAGAAATAGGAGGTGAAAATATATCTCAGGTAAAATTTATAAAGCTATATTCTAATTTTTGACGAACGGATTATGTCAAGGGTTGCTTCTAATTAACTTATTTCTTTTTGTCTAGGTTTCCATTTCGCATAAGTGGTAAAAGCAATCTTGTAGATATTTAGGAAAAGATTATAATCCATATATATAATTCCCTAATAATTACATATAATTATGTCGAAACATTTAAAATTACTCATATACCGTTGTAAATGCATTAATTATGCAAAATTCTCAAAATTTTCGCCAGCGGCGCTGTAAACTGAAGAAATTCGGAAAAAATACTGAAAACGGAAGAACTTTTGAGGCATTGTTGGAAGTAAAGTGGAGTACAAATTAATAGATGGAGTACAACTATTAATTCTGAGAAATTGAAAAATATTGAAAAATGACCTTTAATATTTTAAACCACATTTCTTCAGATCTAAACTTTGTATATCTTCGTTTGTAATTGGAGCATACGTGGCACAAATAATGGTCTTTTAAATATTTATCCCATTGACTGACTTTTTTAACGCCACAATTGAAACAATATCTTTTATTTCCTTCAATATTTTCACCTATAATAATAAAGAATAAAATAGGATGTTCAGTTGAATATGGTTTACTTATTTTATCCCCAATATAAACAATTTTGCTTCTTTCTTTCGAATATTCAGATTTTTGCTTTCCTAACAATTCAATTTTATATCCAATTAAGTTAATTTCCGTCCAATAACTTGATAAAAGTTTGTTTTTATAAGATTCTATTTTTTCCCCAATCGAGTTCAAATTAATATTTTTATCTAAACTCTCGTCTAATATAGAGGTTTCATAATAATTTTTTTCCTTTTTAATAAAATTATTATAACGGAGTTCCTTAAATTTGTAAAGAATTTGATGTTATTTAGAAATATAAAATGTAAAAAATTTTATAACTTATTTGACTTTAATCATAAATTACTTATTTTTCAAATGGAGGCGAAATTCTTCGAATAATTTCATTGAGGCAATCTCAATTAGAGAAGGAATTTTGAAAAAACGTGAACGGGAAACAGGAAATCGTAGCATATGATAATACATATATAAATATAAAAATAAATATAAATACCCGTTTTTCAAATCCTGGTATAATATGTAAAATAATTTCATTTTTGGCAAGTTCAAGCACGACTCTCTCTTTTAGAACAAAACATTGAGTATGAGTTCTATCATTTATTTCAACAGTAAAAATATTTTTATTTTGGTTTAATTCAAATGGACGCAAAAATCTCTCCATATTATAATTAGAACTGCGAAATCGATTATTCGATTTTTCAATTGTCTTCAATACAAAACGCTCATTTTTTTCAACATTTTTTAAATAAATAAATTCTCTTTTTTCTTCCCAATCATTTTTGATATGAACCTCAACGCTAACTTTTTTTCCGATGCATTGTGTATTAAATAGAATGATAGAATATAAGATAAATTTACCAATAAAATTAATCATCTGAAATTTCGAAATAAGTTGTTTATTCGATTTCCGTCAATACTTTTCGTCAAAAGACCTTACATCACCGGACTCTTCGTCAGATATTAATCTGTGACCCAAGACGATAAAGCTTTGTCTATTGCGTGAGTCAAAATAAAAGATAAAATATGTTAAGGAAAAAATTAAAATTTTTATTTTTGTATTTGTAGACTTTAATTATTTCCCGAAAACTTTGTTGAAAAGTTTTGGGTACATTTAAAGAGGTTTTTAATGGATTTTTATGAGATGTCTTTTATATTTTTTCTCTATAGGCAAAGCAGATTTTACATTTATTGTCAAGTTGTGGATTAACAAAATATATCGCAGCCGGTAAGAGAAGGGAATGATAGGGGGAGGAAAGCAATCATTAAATTCAGAAGAACTCCCCGGATCATTAATTCTCAATTAACAATTTTCAATAAATCAGAGTATTCAAAAGAATAATTAAATATAATTAAGGAATAATTATTTTAATAATTATTTTAATCAATTTAAAATTAAAAATATTGTCATTTTTAAAGTAGCAAAAAATATTGTCATTTTTTAAGTTAGCAAAGCAAAATTTGAGTATTTAACGTATATTTTATGTTTAATAAAATAGAATTATTTTAAAATAGAATTTATAAATCTTTCAGAAAAAATAATTTGAAAGGACTTTTGTTTAAGATTTTCATTTAAAAGATAAATACAAATTTTATATAGTCTTGAATTAAATATTATCTTTAATTATTTTGAAATTTAAAAACACTTAAAAATAAATATTTGCACTTTATATTTAATGGAAAATTCATGTGATTAATACGCATGCCATTATTTATTTTGAAATTGTACTTTACTTTATTTATTTTGTCAATCGGCAGGATAAAAAAGTTATTTGCACTTTTCTCAAATGACTCTTTTAATATAAATAGGTTTAAATATTTTGAAATATTTTATCATTTTATTGACTAATAATCTTAACCGATTAATAAAAAGTGCAAATATTTATTTATAAATGCCGTCTATATTTCATAATAAATAGATAGATAAGTAGTTTATATGTTTCAAGGCCATTTAATGGAAGAATAGGTTGATGACTATACATAAAACTATTATTTTTATTATTGATATTCAATAACTTTCAGATTATACTTGCTAACAGTTTAGTCGACAAATTGACTATTGCTAGTGCCTTTGATATTAATAAATGCAGTTTTGATATTTTGTATTATTTCAACTGAAAAAACAAGCAATATTATAAAAAATTTTAAAAAGAAATGGATTAATTTAATAATTACATAATTTAAAAATTTTTCTTGCGTTATAAATGCTATGAAACTATAGAAAATCTCACTTACTAGTGATAATATAAAAATAATTTAACAAGACTCGAATGAAATCAATATAAAAAATTCATAAAAAAGTTGAAACGTTCAAAGGAAAATTATTATTTGAACAACTATACACATATAAATATTTATTAATGGTTATATTTATTACTGGATATTTATCAACGTTTACTGGTAGGAGCAATTTTTATTTCAAATGTATCACTTTTACGTGATGTTTCATGTATGATTTTATGTATGCTATTGACATACAAAATATATCACCAGAAAAAGTCATTAAACTTTATTTTGATAAACATCGCCCGTGTTTAATAGCCTTCCAATTTTAAATAGCCTGATATACTGCATTTCAATTTTAAATTAAGCTGAACTTTAATTTGTAAATTTTAGCATTTAATTAAAATACATTAAAATACTTCTGAGGAACACAAAAACAATAATTATAGAAATATGATCATTAAAATATAGGAAAATAGAAAGAAAAATATAAAAATCTAAACAATAAATCACATGGCATACAAGTTACATGACAAACAATGAATGAAATTTAAAAGAATTTAAAAGATCAAAAGATGATTAGACAATTTAAAAATGAAAGTTGTTTGAATACTTTTAACAAAAATAAAACAATATATACAAAATTTATTAAATAGATATTAGAATAGAAAAAATAAATACAAAAATATAACTGACTAAACATTAACTTCACAAACTTTTTTTATACATATAAGCGAATCACTTTTTCTAATAATACAATTAAAAAATTTTATTTCTTTATAAAAAAATTGCTATACTTAAGAACAAAATCATGGAAGTAGACTCAGTATCTTTATTTGAGAAGAGAATGATCAAAAAATAATTCCTTATCTTGAGACTACTCAAAGTTTACAGTATTAGGTTGTGTCATAAATAATAGCCCCTCTTAAAATGTTTGAAAATTCATATCTCACTGTTCTGAAAACCAATCTGTTTAATTTTTTGTCATATATTCTCAATGATGTCTTCTTCATTTTCTGAAAGATTTGAAATTTTTCCACTACTTACAAATTTTTTACGATTTTTTAAAATTTAAGGAAAAACTATGAAATTAGTTGATTTTGCGGCAATTCACGGTGTATCAATCGACCCTTCTTAACTTGTTTCCCGTTACAAGTAAAATTATGGTAATTTTTGTAAGCGAGCAGGTGTGTGTCTGCCCATATATACACATTTTATTTTTTGGATTGGCTTTGATTCACAGGAGAACGGAATTCTTATCTATCGTTGGTTGACATCCAAGACGTTCCGCCTTTTTCAGCTCCTCTCTACCTTTCTTTTACTTGAAGGACAACCTTTTTTCTGTGCAATACGAGATAACATCTCCTTACTTCGATTAGCATATTTTGCGCCATGATTCCTTCTCCGAATATCCAAGTTTAAACTCATAATTTAGCTGGACGCTAATTTCATAGTTTTGCCTTAAATTTTAAAAAATCGTAAAAAATTTGTAAGTAGAGGAAAAATTTCAAATCTTACAGAGAATGAAGAAGACAACATTGAGAATATATGACAAAAAAATTAAACAGATTGGTTTTCAGAAAAGTGAGATATAAATTTTCAAACTGACATTGTTTAAGTTAAGTATGTGGTTAGTATTAGGTTGTGTCATAAATAATAGTTGTGTCATAAATAATATATTTTTAATTTGGTTTTTGTGTTTAATTTTGAGTTAATAAAAATGAATATTAAAGTATAATAATGTTATAGCTGAAGATTTGACAACATTTTTGTTTCGCAAGTAATCTCACACCTGATATTTAACGTCAACGTAGTAGATATATTTATTATTTATTTTAAAAAATGGTTGAAAACAATTGTTTTTACAATTTACAAAAACAATTGTTGACAAAAAACGAATGTTGTGACTTATAGCGGGGTTTATGTTTATGAACCGATTTCGAAAATGATGTGCATTCGAAAGAGCTTCGAAAACTGAGTCGAGCTAGATATGTGGGAAATCGATCCGACAATCATGGATATAATTTTTTGCATAACTAAAATTAAGTTTTATTTATAGATTATTTATATTAGTTTTAAAGTTCTGAAAAATCGGAATTCAACTAGTTTTATTGAAGATATTACTGTAGTTTTTAATCAGAAGTCTTTCTAAAAACATTAAATTGCCGTTTCATTTCCTCACTTTCGCTCAAATTGCTGGTTTAAAGAAACAATTATTCAAGAAAATTTGCGATGTTTATATAACCGCTATAATTTTTGACTATTGTGGTAAGCTTCCAATCCCCGACTATAATTTTTAATTTAAATAAGTTAATTTTCTCTGGTTAAAACAAATCAACTTAAATATTTCCTTTTAATTTTAAATTTATTGTAGTTTTGATATTTATACATATAAATAAATTTGTTGTTTTACTAATTGATAAAAATCGATTAATTATATACATATTTTTTTTAAACTTAATTTTATTATAGGTTGAAAGTTGTCCTCAACTTTAATATCTGATAAGAGCCATTTTGTTGTTTTTACCATTTTGTACTTTTATTATTTTTGTTGTTGGCATTTTGTCGTTTTGGGATTTTTTCAAATTATACTATTTAAACCTATTAAAGGATTTTATTCATTTTTCCAATTTATTTATTTTCGAGATTATTTTAAATTAATTTTTTCCTCTTCCCTCTTTCTTAAACGTTTCTTTTTTTAATTTTTTGTTTCTGAAAAAATTTTCTTCTTTAAATTCCTTTTTATTCAATGTCTATCGAACTTAGTTTTTAAATTATTATGTTCTAATTCTACAACGAAAATTGCTATGAATTACTGTCATTGTTCTAACTAGTATATATAACTAGTATATATACTTTGTTCTAAAAGTATATAACTAACTAGTATATATACTTTGAAGTGCGACGTTTTGGGGCTGAGACATTATGGGGGTGGGCCATTTTCTGGCGAAACCAATAAACACAAAATTTTTTTTACAAAATTTGTAATTTTTACAAATTTTTTCCTAAATTTTTAGTAAATTTTCACTTTTTGACAGGATTTTGGGCAATTTTCGCAATATTTTCCCCAATAACCCTAAAATATGCAGTAAAATATGCATTATGCAACAAAGTCCGGAATATGCAAAAATATGCATTATATGCAAATAGAAACCCCCTCTAAAGTTTTCAAAACATGCGGAAACAGTGTTTTTTGTGCATTACACATCATGAAAAGTTTGCAAAAAAAATATGCATTTGCATAAAAATCCGGGCTCTAATAATTTAGTACAATTTGTACTAAATCAACTCAAGGTAAATTTCAAGTAAATGGTTTCTTAAATATCTTATTTAAAACATCATAGCAAATAAATCTATCACATAATTTAAAATAAAATAGCATAGTTAGTGGCATATATTTTTTCTACTTTGTTATTTTATACATTACTTGTAACATGTAATTAAAGTATATTATAAGTAACTAAAAATACGAAAATTATTTATAAAGATTATTTTACTTATATAAAAGAAATTTTGTAATGATTTATAAAAATTGCTAATTAATATATTAATTACTACTAATTATTAATAATTTCGTAATTAAAAAGAAATATAAAGGGAATTTTTCCACCAAAAATTTCAATTCACCATAAATTCAACTAAATTGAAAATCCA